GGTTGAGATATATATATATATATATATATATATATATATATATATATATATATATATATATAGAGAGATAATAATAAATTAAAGCTGTGAGCAGCGATGAACGGGCCCTCGCATCCTCCCGCACGTCGGGGGTGCCGTTGGACAATGTGGCCACGAGTCCGACGTTTTTTCCCTGTGTGGACCATGTGACGCAGGAAATGATACTTTGCAAATAGTGCAGCGCTTCCTGTATCTGCTGTGCAGCGCTACAGATCAGGCGCAAACATGTATTATGTTGCTCTACATCAACTGTAAACCACATCGTGTAAAAGTCATGTAAATTGGATGCTGTTTGTCAGAAAACGCAGATTACCTTTCGCCAGCAGGTGGCGCTGTGAATATTAGTGAAAATTAGCTTGTAGGCATCCTCAGGCCAGGAGTGTTATCAAGCATGGGACGTTTGGGACCATTTGGAACACGTCCATTTGAGTTACATCAGCTTTTTTGATGGGGAATCACGTAACGCTACGGCTAAGCCATTCCGTCAAACGTAAAGCTTTTGATAACTTTGAATGACAATGGTCTTGAGATTGTTCTGACCAAATTTGAAGAGGATCAGACAAATTCCCTCGGAGGAGTTCGTTAAAGTATAGCGACTACAAAAGGGCCAAAATCTATCAAAAAATCTAAATTGCCGACTTCCTGTATAGTTTAGAGCATAGTCCCAATAGCCTTTTTTTTAAGTCTCTACGTTATACATATGCCTACTAAATTTCATACATATAGATAAAACGTAGTGATGGGGCTGCTCTTTTGAAAATTTGTAGGAGGCGCTATGGAGGCAATTTAAAATGGCCAATCCAACATCCAATATAAAATATGTCTTACCATGACACATTACCTATGACACATGTACAAAGTTCCATGAGTTTGAGTGTTCCAACCATCAGCTTCTTTTTCAAGGCGAATGATGCGTTGCCACGGCAACAGCATTCAACAAAAACACAATATTCATGATGAAGCATCTTTAGTGTCATAATGCTTTCCTTACTAAATTTGAGACTGATCTGGTCAACTGGCTAGGAGGAGTAAATAAAAGTATAAAATGTGACATTTATTTTTGCCAGTAGGTGGCGCTATGAGCTATTGAACATTTTGCCATTGATATATGATCCAACTTGAAGTAGCATCATGCATATGTACATTGTTTGCAGATTGAATAATGTACCTTGGAGTTATAACAACTTTATTGTTCATGCCGAATGAGGCAAAATGGCCGCCATGCCAGGTCAAGGTTCTTCCATGAAAACTCACGAATTTGACAACTTTTCATTACAAAGAGCATCCTGGCCAAATTAGAGGTTGATCCCATTAATTCTGTAGGAGCAGTTTGTTAAAGTACAAAGGCTGAAAACTGCAAAAAGTGACAAAAAAGCACAACATGGTGGGTTTACTGTAGCGTCCTCTAGTGCAGTGGTTCTCAACTGGTCTGGCTGCGGGACCCACCATCACCCCTTAATGACAAGCCGCGACCCAAATAGAGGACAATTTTCAACTTCTCAAAATGATTTGAGAAGATGGTGCCGTTTGAACCTAAGCTGAAAATGTCCTCTGCAGTCGTAGTGTAGGGAGCTCTCTTGTGCAGAGAAATTGTTCCTGTAAGTCCCCGTCCCACACACGTTTCACGTAAACGAGTAAAACTGCTTTGTTTGTGATGTCTGTAGATTCCTCCATTTGTAATGAAAAATGACCATTTGCCTAAATTCGAGCTGTGGTCTGTTGTTTGATGTCATCCGACATGTCTTCAATTCGTCTACTTATAGTGTGATTTGACAGAGGTATAGTTTTCAGTTTATCCGCTGCTGATTGATCCAACACGTCCATGTCCATGGCTCAAGGTAAGTAAAACACGTGATGTCCTCAGGTCTTGAAGTCATCTTCGAAAGTACACAACAGGTTTATCTTTGAGAGAAGGGTGTTTTGTTTCCAAATGCCGCTTCAGTTTTGACAGCTTCATGCTTTCTTGTGCCAGAATCTCGCTGCACAAAACTCACTGAGGTTTTTTCCTCTTTTGTCCTTAATGTAAGAAAATCCATGTCACATGTAGTCGGTGTCGTACTTGTGTTTCGCTCAATTAGCATATGAAAACTTTGTGGGTGTTCTTCTATGCTATGAAATAGCGGGTGTCTATTAGCATTACAAGGCATTAATGGCAAATACTGTTAAGGAGTGTGAATAGACGGCACTCCGCTCCGTAAAAAATACCCTTCAAAATAAAAGCACAGCATTTTTTCTTCTTTTTTTTTCAGGCAAAGGCCCGCGAGCCACTGAAAACAGGTGAGAATCACTGCCCTAGTGGTTGAATGAAATGAAAATGTCAGGGTATGTTACAGAATGCGATATGCAAATATGCTGCAAATTTGGCTATTTTAGGACAAACGGTTGAGAAGTTATGTGTATTGATATATAAGCCACGCCTATAAGAAGTTTATTGGTCCCTATCTTGTAAAATCAAAGAGATATCAAAAAGCTTTTGATAGCTTTTGAAGATGTATATCCAATAATGATCCAGAGCAAATTTGGTAGCAATCGGAGGCATCGTGTTGGAGGAGTTTGCAAAAAATGTGTTTTTCACAAAATTCAAAATAGAGGAAAATCTAAGTAGGCGAAGTTTAGGGGTCTGAGAGGCAATTTTGAAGAGCTAGCGGAGCTGGACATGTGTGTTGAATTTCAAGTAATTCAGACATACTGGCCGAGGGGCGTCGCCGGTCTAACTTCTAGGGGGCGCTAGAGAGCCATTTCTTTACACACAAATATGCAACCTATATCAAATGGCTATTTTTACCAGGCCTGATTTGGTGAGTTTTTGAGTATGGCAAGTCCCCCAAATATGCGCTCGATGTACAATGTGTATTCGAATTTCAATAGGTCCTTCGCGGCCCGACGTTGTTGGTTGCTCGGGCCCTAAAAATGCACGAGGCATTTTAATGATGCATTTTCTCTTTGGACCTGCAGAGTGCAGTGTGTCGAACAGGTCTTACCTTTCCTGAACTTCTCTGCCTGGTCGCGCCACTGCTTCACCTCGTTCTCATTGACCAACCTGTGAACCGAGCGGACAAAAGTAAGCGCAGGCAACAAAGAACAGACAAAAAAGAAAAACGCTGGCATGTGGGGGTCGACTGCAGCCCAACAGAGTCAAGGTGGAACTTCTTGATGAAATTCAACCGTCAATCTTTCCTTTTTTGTGAGAGGCATCTTGACTGGGTTGATGCAGTTTTACCCCTTTCTTAAGCTGCATGACAACATTAGTGCTAAAGCAAATCCCGCAGGGCTGAAATCAGTTAAATTCAGTTATACGTTTGGGCAGCGGATTCAGCGTGAAGGGGTGAAATAGGGGTTACGCTGATGTTCTGATATAAATGTGGGATCCACTGATATAAGAGATGAGGTAATTGGGAGGAGGGGGGGGGGGGCTGCACAGAGTTAGATTAAAAGCAGGAGAATGAAAGGAGATTTGCAAAGATGATCAAATGGCGCGTTTTGAGAAATTAATTTAGCAGAGAAAGGATTTGAAAAGTGAAAAACCTTGAGGATCGGTGGAAGCCGTGGCTAGAGTTGAAGGGAATAGACACGTTTCAGAGTATCAAACAGTGAAAAAGAAAGAGCATGAGAGAGTGCTGAGGTACGACCGCCAACAAGGATAAAGCAACTTCTCCGTGGTAACGATTCGCACTTAACTGCTGTGAGGAATTTAAGTTTTGAAGCTCCTAATTATGGATATTATGTGATACAGTGTATTCACTTGTAAAGGTTTTGAATCAAGGAGTGTTGTCATTTCATGCATTGAGTGAAAGAGGGGGGTTTGAGGAATGTGCTGGAGGGGAGGTTGTGTGAAAGTGGCTGTGTGAGGTGTGAAGATCAAAACAATGGATCAACGGCCCAGGAGGGGCTTGTTGGACTTCAGCCAATCAATGAGCTGATCGATGAGCTGAGAAATGTAACTTTGGGGGGACAAAAGGGTTTGAAGCTCTGGGGGATTTCAGATCTTCTGCGGGTGACCGAGGAGGCAGACCAGCCTCCTGGGTGGCTCGGATTGGATCTCACATTTCATGGAATTTATATGTTTGTTTTGTTATTCGGTTTGTAACGGTTTGTATCTGTTTTTATGCTTCTTGGATAATAAATCCATTTGATTTGACTTGACTTAAACCTGCCGTTGTGTTTTGGAGGCGATTGAGAGCACATGGCTGCAGGAAGGGGGGGCGATTTCTCCTTGTTCAAAAGTTATGGACCTAACACTGCTTGTAATCAATACACACGAAGCAAATGAATCATTAATCAGGTTTCTGTCCTCTTAACGCTGGTGTTAGTGAACAAGACTGCCTGCACTTGATCACAAAGTCAGCACTGCTTTAATTACAGCTCGAACAACGCTCCGTGGATCCAACGCGATAAAATGAAAAAGACACAACAATCACTATATTGTTCACGGGTCAAATAAATAACCTTTACGCAGCCGCAGGGGAATGTGATCTGCACAAGAGTGTTAATTTTAAAAAGTAGTCATGGTGACCGCAGATGATGGATGGCTTCGTCTCCCAGTTGTTTTAACAGTTGTTTTAATCTTATTGCACGTGTGAAAACTGGTTTACTGTAAATGCGTCCTCACAACAAAGCGCTGATGTAGATCTCCGCTGCTTCTCTGCCTTTCCAGCCTCAAACATTCTGACATAAAGCCCACATGTTGATATCAGACTCCATCTCTGATCATAGTTAGGAAAGATGCATTGACCACAAGGATTTTCCAGAAATGAGAGCAGTGCTTTTACAGCTTCAGAGAATAAGCTGTAAACGCACGCAAAAAGGCCCGGAGCACTCGGGTGTATAGTGCGCTTACAGTAACTCCCTCTTATGTTATAAATCACAGCACAATGTTTGGCCTGGATCGCCACATACAGTACTATCCTACAGCCCTATTCTACCTGGGGACCTCTAGTAATTTGGAAGAATTGCGGAGGTCGTCCGTAATTTAAATTAATTAAAAAGAAAAAAATGCCAATTCGCAAATGACATTTTTTGTTTACCCCATGTGTTTTCTGCCTCTTTACTGCTCGAGAAGTATGAAGGCTACTAGTAATATGGCTTTAGACTTAGAGTGTTTGCATTATTCCTGACATCGTTACACACTCTTGTGAGTAGAAATGACACCGTCAGCAGGCAGGGGTTGTCAGTCTGCTCTTGTCCGACGCGTCATCTTCGGTCGAGGGCGGTAAGATCTCCACTTACATGCGAATGATGTTCTTCACGCTGAAGTTGTCCAGAGGGGCGGCGTCCGGGTCCTCTCCCTTGTCGTCCTGGAGGACTAACTGCTGGAGGATCCGGTCTAAGAGCTGCCAGTGCTGCAGGCTGCCACCGCCTCGTTTATCTGTGTAATATTTGGAATATTATAGTTTTTCCAGTACCTCAAATTTACTTGTCCTGGAATTTGAGCATTATGAAAGAAGGCCCAGAACAACTCCTTGTATGTACTCACAGGGCATCTGCAGGCAGTGCTGGAGGATGGAGATGAGGTTGGGGTAGGCGTCTGTGTGGCTCAGCTTCTTCTTGATCAGCTCGAACATGGCCCCAGCACTCTTAGTATCTACGTGGGTCTATCAAAAACAAAAACAAAAGAATTTTGAATTACTATCAAGTTTGACCATTGCTTGCCTTTTGATGATTTGAGCCACACAAAGTAGTAAGATGAGGAAACAGACTGGTGTCTATGAGGGATTTTAAGTTACTCACCGTATCAAACCTTTTGGCCAACTCGGAGTCATCCTCATTCCGCACCATCTCAAAGAAGTCCAAATGCCTGGAGAAGGAGAAATAACAGTCTGAGTATTTACTGCACCCTCACCCCGGGCGACAAGGAAGGACAGTCAAATTTCAACAAAACACAAGGGTGAAGTATGTTCTTGTCAAAGAGGATGATCAATTATTAGCCGATTGCTCATTAGGGTCTCACTCTCACCGATCCAGAGTGGCGTTCTCGTGCTCCCGGAGCTTGTCGATGACCGGCTGGATGCCCAACATCAGGAACTCGTACCTCAGGTGGAGGCGGAACTCAAGGTTGTCCTAGAAATATAGAAGAACAGAACAGGTGCTGTAAATTAGCATTTCGCTACAAACACTTAACACAGTGCATCTGGGCTTTGTGCATAAATGTATGTTACAATTCTAATGCTATTGTGATGTCCATATCAAATAATCAATAAGAGAGGACTTCACAAATGGTGATAATGGCACATCATCTTTAATTATCTAGCACGAACCTGGGAATCTGAACTCATCATTCCCAAGAACATTATTAGCACTTGAGAAATTACCGGAGGAAGTTTGTGATGAAAAAGGAACCATTAGACAGAGCTAGGCCATCTATTTGCCCTCTTTTACCAGTCTTTAGGCTAAGCTAACGAGCTGCTCACTGTTGCTTCCCATTTACTGTAGAAACATGAGAGTGGTATCAGTTTTCTCATCCAACTCTCCAGCCACAGAGGGAATGAGTGAAATTCTAAAAATCCTTTAAAGTTCCATATAGTAGAAAGTTAGACTTCCATATCTTTTTTGATCATAAAGCAGGTCTAGGTATAAATACTGTGAAAGTATGCAGACATGTTCTAGTAGTAACCCAAAATAGAAGTATGAACATGAAAGGGAGGATTACATGTCCCCTTTAAGTTCACATATAACCTTTAACTGCAAGCTAACAGAAGCTTTTCAAACTGCGTCTAACAACAGACTTGGGATAAGTGTTAACATTCTTCAGCAAATATGCTTTGTTAGCTATAACATACCAGTGACATAAATAACACATTTCCTATGACTTTTTGCTCCTTTGCTCTCTTTGATGACGTCTTTTCCCAAATACTGAAACTATATTACAGCTAGGTTTTCCTGATGTTTTGTAGGGTGTAATCTAAAAAGGCATGTGGGTGCGCTGACCTCTCCGGCTCCGGCGTTGAGCACAGCGTTGATGAAGGACATGATGGCAGTCTTTAGGTTGACCTCGTCTCTGTAGCGGCCTGTGCTCTTGTCCAGCTCATTCAGCAGCATCTGATGGGACGGTTAGTCAGCAATTGTGCTTTTGATCGAAAATATACGTCAACGCTGAAATCACAGGATACTGTAGCAACTGGTACAGAGATGAAAGAAACGCGTCGCTGAGATCTTGATTTATCATTCTGACACAACGTTGAGGGGAACCAAGTTGCACTTCTCACCCTGTGTTCCAGTGGCGGGCCGTGCATTTTATACCTGGGCCTTCACTGCTGTCCTGCAGCTGAAATACCTGCAGCTGAAATACCACCTTATAACCATCACCAAAAAGTTGAGAAAATGAGTGTCAACAGGAAACGCAGCAAAATCTGGACACATTTCAATTACATTGTCCAAACTAAGGCAGAATGTAGAGTCTGCAAGACTAAAATCTCATATCGAGCTGGCTCCACAAACAACCTGCACAGGCACATGAGAACTGTTCATCCATCAGTGCAATTGGAAGAAAAAAGACAAGCAAGTGAACCTGATATTGATGAAGGTGCCAGTATGTCTACTGCAACTGTTGCTGCAACTGCAGTGTCTACCCTCAAAGCTGAGGCACTTGGTCTTTCTCAATGTAAATCTTCACTGAAGGACAAAACTCTGGATGCTGATTTTTTTCTTTTTGTTTTACACATTTTAATTTATATTTTGTTGTGCGATTCTGTAAGCTTCTGTATGTTGTTTCACTTTAAATTTGTTAAGTATTAAAAAGCTAAAAGTTTAAAATAGTTAAAAGTTAGTTCAGTTCATTTGTAAATAGTTAAATGTTTGTTTTTGCACTTTCTAATTTATTTTTTTTATCACTCTGTAGAGGGTATAAATAAAAGTGTATTTATATAATAAACATTTGATATAGTGCATGTTTTTTTTACATTAGTAATTCATATTGCACATAATTTTACATTATTGTTGGTAATAAATTAATTTAAGCACCAAAAAATCTGAAGAGCCATTTGGAAGCCAAAAGAGCCGGCTCTTTTTAGTGAGCCGAGCCAAAAGAGCCGGTTCTCTAAAAAGAGCCGGAATTCCCATCACTAGTAACTGTGTACGTCTTCATATTAAACCGTTCGGTACAAGTCGTTTGAATAATGCTAGAGCATTTAGAAAATGCAAAAGCCTAAATTCAGGAAAATATAATGTTATCAGCTGGTCTGGCCGTGGGATCCACTGTCATTCCTTAATGACAAGCGGCAACCCAAAGAGATTATTATAGGATTTTACTTTCACAAACTGAATGTTGAACTACTGCTCTGCAATGTCTTTCCTCGTCTCAGCACCCTCTCTCATGGTGCATCTCACTCAGTCAGAATGCATTTTGATTGGCTGAGCTGCATCACATGATGTGATTCACTACCCATCAGCCTCTGCTGGCTGTTAAATTTCGTTTCACGATAGTCACGTGCTCGCCCACTGACCAATCACAGCACACTCTGCACCTCGCGGGAAAGCTACACACGGACACTGAGCGGCATGTAATGCTGACGTCATTATAGGCCGGCGCGCAGGCTCTGATAGTCAAAGAATACGCCCAACATGTCAAACTAAAGATGTGATTGGTTGAACACTATGACAATCAACAATATCGTCCCCATTCACTTTAATCTGCACTGGCTGCAGGTGAGAGTGTGCAGGCCTCTGGCTCTGTTCTTACCTAGAGACACAGAGGTGAAATCTGATTGGATAAAAGCTCTACTTAAAACAAGCTGCACTGGAAGCAGAGCAACTGAGGAAGACAGGAGCTGTGCAATGAGAAAATAAGATAATGGGAAAAATATTTTTATAAATTATAATACATGTAGTGTATTTAAGAAAAAATATTAAATTATAAAATAGATATAGCTTTGTGATTCTGTTTAGGCCAGCAGAGAAGGCCTTGCAGGCCCTGACGGCCCGCCACTGCTGTGTTCCCACTGACCCCCCCGACATACGTCTGGAGCTTAATCACAACTCAACATTTTTAAAAAAGCCTCATAAGTTAGGAATCACTCAACTCCTGTGGTGTTAGCTCACCCCGAGGAGGCATGATTTAGGGCAAGGCTCTGGGAAGGGGGGCTTGCGAGACGTGGCTTATTGACTCAGTCCTGCTAGCCGCTAAAGCGCTACACTTGCCCTGACCTCCATAACTCTGGGCATATTAAAGGCAGGTGAGGACATCCAAAGTGTTGACTTAACCTTAGGCCAACCATTTGAGGGTGTTAAAGCACGAGTCTCCAACTTTATTTAAATGACCACAGCTTGATTTATTTTGGCATTACTTTAAAATACTGTGTCTGCCTTTTCCCATAGTCTCCGTCTGCCCGTGCGTCCAGCAAAGGCTCCTTAAAGTAAGTATGCTTGTACTCAAGGTATGCACCACTTCAGCTTCCCCTCACCTGAAAGCGGGTCCTCTCTGCAGCGTACTTCTGGTAGTGCGCCATGGCCTGCAGCACCTTCTTGTGGCCGTCGGGCACCAGGCACACCGCCCCGAGGATCTCCAGCACCGCCACTTTGGTCTTGATGTTCTCCGTCCGCAGGCTCTGCGATATGGTGTTGATGCTCTGCGGGTGGGCAAGGACGTGCGCGCGGCCCTGCGAGTTGTTCATCAGAGCCTTGATGCAGCCGATGACGGAGGTGTGGACTCGGCTCTCGGACGTCTCGTAGTCCATGCTGCGCAGGAAGTTGAGGAGGCAGGTGAGGCCGTCAAGCTCGATGAAGCGTGTGACGAACCTGGAGGTGGCGGAAGGGGGATAGGGGAGCACAGATTCAGAGTAGAGTAGAACAAAATAGATGCAGTGGTCATATAGTTAAAACGGTGCAGCTCTTCAACAACATTTCCACTCTCGCTATTGACTAAAGGCATAAAATGGCCAAAATATTCTTAACAAAAAACATGTGCTTCTTACATTAACTACAGTAATCAACTCAAATTAAATTATCATTTAGCTTGGGGCTACAAAAAATATATATGTATAAAATGATCGGATATGGTTTGTTCATTTCAAGGATTAGCAACTTTGTCCATAAATCAACAGAATTATAAAAAAAATTAATAAAGCTGCTAGAATGGCCCAGACGATCAGCTGACTTGAATCCAATAGAAAAATCTATGGAAAGAACTAAAGATCAGAGTTCATAGAAGAGGCGGAACCTTCAAGATTTGAAGACTGTGTCGAAGAATGGGCCAAAATCACACCTGAGCAATGCATGCGCCTAGTTTCTCCATACAGGAGGCATCTTGAAGCCGTCATTACGAATAAAGGCTTTTGTACGAAGTATTAAATCAATTTCAGTAAGCCTGTTCAATACTTTTTCCCTGTGTCATTCCATTTTTACCGACATCTGGTGAAAATTTCATGTCAATAGCACCTTTAGAAATATATTTACTGAGAAAAATGGTGACGTGTTCAATACTTATTTTACCCGCTGTATGTATATAATGATAAAGAACTGATAAAAGCAATCTTCACATTTGAGGGGCGGGAGGGGAACCATTCGAAGTTTGGCTTTGGGGGGGGACACATTATCCTAAACTCACTTTCTAAGCTTGTGCACATACATTTGGGTATCAGACTCTCAGACATCATCAAAGACACGACAAAGTTCCTCCTGAGCCACCGTTTCACATGATGCTCATCCAGTCTCTTACTGAAAAAATAAATCCTCATTAGCTGAACTAATTAGACAGCAGCAAGTCATTAAACTCTCTGGGTAAGAAGAATAACCTATAGGTTGACATGTAAACATCGAGGGATGTCACATCTGGCGAGCACACTGCGGGCCGTGTTGTAAACGCCGTCCCACTCGCTCAGATTCCTGATGGGCCTCGTTAAATTTACTTCAAACAAATGGGGGCTTGTGTTGGGAGCGAGAGAGGCGGAGGGAGAGGAGATGAGGAGAGAAGAGGGACGGAGTCAGAAAGTGAAAGGACAGTGAGGAAAAGAGGGAGGGGGCTGAGAGTAGAGATTTATTGCTATTCATTGTATCAGATACATTGTTTTGATGTCAGAAGCTCCGTCGCCTCCTCCACTGCTGTCTTGGCAAGAGCAGACATGAAAAAAAATAAAACACGGTGCTAAAAGAAATGTAAATCATCAAATTTTGAAATCCAAGTTCCCAGCACAGATAAGCACTCACTCACACACATGTTGACAAGGCATGGTACGTGCATGCATACAGACAGACGACGTTCCTGACAATAAACTGAAATCTTCATTTCACACAAAAACAAAGGGAATTTAACAGTGACAAATGCACCGTACTTCTAGAGAGCTTACATCCCGCTTTTGTCTCTCCTACTGCTATCCATCTTTCATTTTCTCTCCATAGAGCACTTGAATCAGTGGTTTCCATCCCCTCTGACTTTGGAGCCGCTGACATTCACGCTGAGCCGAGAGCGGTGCGCAGGACATTTTTCTCCCTTTTTTTGTGTGGAACAACCGCTGCATACTTGACTAGAGCTTACAATATGAGCTCAGGAGGAGCTGAACTAAGCCGAGGCGGAACCAACCACACACACATATATTAAGTTCTGCAGACGGACAAAAGAAAAAAGCGAGGGTTATAACTTGGAATGGGACGAGACTGAACAAAAGTGACTGTGTATTGAGTCAAGGCCAAGGATGGTCAAAGGTAACATAAGGTTAATTGAAATAAAACCTGACATAGCTAGTTCTTTTATTTTATACAATATTAACTGATTGCCAATGTTGTTAGCTACTTAAAAAACATTTAGGGGTCATGTTAGTTCCATTGATCTAATAAGTGTAGCCCCTAAACCAGAGGCAGATAATAATCTAAATGAGCAGTACAGTGCTGAAAACTGATCCAGATGCTCAAAAATTCAATTTCATTCTAACCAACTGGGCTTTCTGAGGTTTTAGCTGCACGGGCAAAACATTCAGTCTTTGTAAACTGTGGACGAGCCCTGCGTGTCAGACATTCGGTTCGAGAGTTCATTCTTTCCTCAAAGCCTTGCAAACTTATCAAAATCTTACACCTCTATATACACACACACACACACACACACACACACACACACACACACACACACA